TAGGCTCCCAGTCAAAAATAAAAGTAACTGTTTCACTTTTAACAAAATCAAACCTTTTTTTTTAAGGAAAGACTGATGGAGAGCGACTTGCAAAATTCTTTTAACTCCATTTCATATGTCTCAATGCATTCTGTAGCTTCCGCAACTTTCATTTCTTTTACTACACTACAAAGCAGCTTAATATCAGTCAATGAGCACTCATCTTGAATAAGATGCAAGACAGCAGAAATATCAGTGCATTGCTTAACTTTTTTTCTAAGATTTTCAGTGCTACAGCAAAAAGACATAAACTCTTTTATTTCTTCTAAAGGAAGAGATTTCTGTTGAATAATTTTGCCAACATGATAAAACATTGTTCCATATGATGTTCTTACTGAGCTGATGAAGCTCATTAGCAAATCTTTATGAACAGGAATAAGTGCCTCAGCTAAAAATTCATTGAGTGAACCGAATATTTATTTATTAATAACTATTACCATGTGGAACTACATGTGCTGGTAAATCATGATCATCAGGAGCAGGAAAATACCTACCTAAGAATACATAATAATGAACAAACAGTTGTCAATAGTTTTAATTAATAATTAACAAGGGAAACGTGTTTCCCATTCACATATTCAATTATTCACATAAATCATCAAACTGTCTCTCTATTTTGATATGCATGTAATATCGTCATTGTTGTTAAAATTATATTATCTAGTTCATAATTATCATACTCACTAATATCATCCAGTATAGTTTGTCCTAGTGATACATTAGTACTTATTGTACACAATACATTAGCGAATGTATGCAAACTGTTGGGATCAGTTTGAACAGCTCCTTTGACAGCAGTTAATAGAGCCTCACGTTGATTAGGAATAGAGGGACTAGCTGACACCACTCTACTAACTGCTTCTTGTGTTAACATATGTTCAGCATAAAGTAACCAAGCAATAGCAACAGAATCACAAAGAGACTGAGACAGGACAGTATGACGATTATTAAAAATATTAATAAGAACATGATGTTCTATGATAGAAAATACAATGATTATAGTTACATACAGTTATGGTTGACTCACTTAACTTCTCAGCTACAGCAGTTTCATTCATAGATCGTAGAGCATCTGACAGTGAGTCCAAGTTGGTTCCTCCTCTACTGTCAACATTATCAGCTCTACCTAACCATTGGGAGAGGCACTCTGTCATACAACGAGATACATCATGAGGATGATTCTTTTCTATGACGTCCAGTGTACTTTTCTTTAGTCCTATTCTCAGTCCAAGTTCATACCATTTTGTTTCTGGGAAGCCACATCTCTTCAATAAGTCAATAACATCAATCAAGTCACCAATATCTATCAGTAAAAATCAAAATGTCAGATCATAGTCTATGGTCAGATCATAATACCACATGAATACCTAAACATGCTTGATTAGTGGCCATAATTCCATAAAAAGAAGCTGCCCCAAGGCCAGGGGCCTTAGAACTGATTTACTGAACAGCACTCTTTTCTTAGTCTTTACCAGTTACTTTTATTTATGGGAAAAGTGAGGGGAAAGTAAAGGAGTTAGGCCCTAGATTAGCCCTAGATAAAGTTCGGAGTCGGGAGAAGCAAGCAATACACGTGGAGTGCTAGTGGAAG